AAACATTCAAAGAATTCAAAATTGATATGTTGTTGAAGTCAATGGCCACTTATTCAAGCCTGAGCTTTTGAGATGTATTCCACGGTTCAACCTAGCCGAAGATGATATCAACTATATCACTGATGAAAACATTGTCACCAATGCATTCCAAGGTCTCAGCACCATTCTCGTTAAAAAGCATGGGTACACCTACTTGAAACTAATAGAAAAATCTTTTGGCATAAAAAAAGGCGGTATGTTGAGTATAGATTGATGACATGTTGATGAAGACTAGGACAGCTAGATGACCTATTGAAAACATTCAAAGAATTCAAAATATTTAATATAAAGTTAAACCCTAAGAAGTGTTTGATTGGAGCCAGCTAAGAGGAGTAATGATTAACCCAGCTACAACATCTTCCAATTCGAACAAACTTTGATGGTGATTGAAGCCCGTTCAATGTGTCTAATCAAAGATGTCTAAAAGCTAATTGACAAATTCGTTAGACATAATAAATTCATTTTGTGGTTAAACGAGCAAAATGCCTTTCTTTCAAAACACTAAAGAAACCAAATATTTTCAAATGCACGACTGAAGCAACCTTCATCAAACTTGAGTGCCCTTGATATTATCGCAAGTCGTGGGAAGCCCTTAAATAAAAGGAACTCCACCCATTGTGCAAAATGTTACTTGGTTAGCCCAATCCTAGGATGAAAAAGCAAGAAAAAACAACCAACATAGTAAAAAACCACGCTTTGAGCTAGCTAGAACAATAATAACCACAAATGCACAAACTTCTCCTGGCACATATTTATCCAAGCATTAAGCCATACTAGTGAAAGCCGTACATCTGTGTGACCTATTGAAAATATTCAATGCATTCAAAATATTCAAATATAAAGTTAAATACTAAGAATTGTTTGTTTGGAGCCAGCTAACAGGCGCAATGATCAACCCAACTATAACATCTACCAATTAAAACAAATCTTTGATGGTGTTTGAAGCCCTTTCAACATGTCCAATCAAAGATGTCTAAAAGCTAACTGACAAATTTGTTAGACATAATGGATTCGTTTAGTGTTAAATGAACGAAATGCCTTGCTTTTCAAAACACTAAAGAAACCAAGGACCTTCAAATGCACGACTGAATTCAAAGCAACCTTCATCAAAATTGAGTTGCCCTTGACATTATCGCAAATCATGAAAAGCCCCTAAATAACAGAAACTCTATTCACCAATGGTGTGAAATGCTATTTGGTTGGCCCAATCCTAGCACGAAAAAGAAGGAGAAAACAACTAACATAGTAAGCAGCCACGCCTTGAGCTAGCTAGAACAAAGATACCAACTAATGCACAAACTTCTCCTGGCAAAGATGTATACAAACGTGAAGCCAAACTTGTAAAATCCGAACATCAGGAGAGCAATTGAAAACATTCAATGTATTCAAAATATTCAATAATAAGGTTAAATGATAATAATTGTTTGTTTGGAGCCAGCTAAGAGGTGTAATAATCAACCCAACTATAACATTTCCCAATTCAAACAAATCTTTGATAGTGATTGAAGCCCATTCATCGTGTCCAGTCAAAGATGTACAAAAGCTAATTGACAAATTTGTGATACATAATAAATTCATTCCATGGTTAAACGAGCAAAATGTCTTGCTTTTCAAAACACTAAGGAAACCAAGTATTTTCAAATGCACGATTGAATTCAAAGCAAACTTCGTCAAACTTGAGTTGATCCTCGACATTATGGCAAGTCGTGTGAAGCCCCTAGAAAAAAAAACTATGTCATCCATAGTACCAAATGTTATTTGGCTAGCTAAATCCTAGTACGAAACCGCAGGAGAAAACAACCAACATATTAAACAACCACACCTTGAGCTAGCTAGAACAAAAATACCCACCAATGCAAAAACTTCTCCTGGCACAAATATATCCAAGCGTGAAGTCATAATTGTAAAAGTCGGACATCTAGGTGACCTATTGAAAGCATTGAATGCATTCAAAATATTCAAATATAAAGTTAAATCCTGAGAAGAGTTTATTTGGAGCCAGGTAAGAGGTGCAATGATCAACCCAATAATAACATCTACCAATTCGAACAAATCTTTGATGGTGATTCAAGCCCTTTCAACGTGTCCAGTCAAAGAAGTCTAAAAGCTAATTGACAAATTTGATAGACAAGGTAGATTCATTTCATGGTTAAACAAGTGAAATGCTTGCTTTTCAAAATACTAAAGAAACAAAGTATTTTCAAATGCACAACTGAATTCAAAGCAACCTTAATCAAACTTGAGCTTCCCTTGACATCATTGCAAGTAACAGGAAGCCCCTAAATAAAAGAAATTATATTCCTCGATACTGCAAAGTGTTATTTGGTTAGCCCAATCCTAGTATGAAAAAACAGGAAAAACAACCAACATAGTAAACAACCACGTCTTAAGTAGCTAGAACAAAGATACCCACTAAAGCACAAACTTCTGGCACAAATGTATACAAACGTGAAGCCATACTAAAAGGCCCAACCAAATTTTTTTACAAAATCATGAGTTTCAAGGTGGCTCACTCAATGTTTTGATAAATTGATGAAGTGCAACATGGAATTTTATCGCAATCAAATACTTGTCGGTCAACTTTTTGATTTTTTGAAAATTGAAAATAATTTTGAAATTTAATTTAAATATAAGAGGTATATATTATTTGTTTTGAAAGTAGCATGTTTTAATTTTTAAAAAAATGAGACCAAATAGATCTTATTCGTCCAATAATTTGCATAATCGTGCCCGATACTGTAAATACTATACATTTCCAAAAGATGAGTGTATATCTCGGCGGTAGACCAAATCCTGCAAACTAAAAGATTTGTGGCATTCGTTTGGTTTGCTAACATTTTTATGTGTGACCGACAAGTTCTCATATTTAATATAAATATTAAATAGAGTTTGTTTTACCTGTGTTTCAAGTTCCCTATAGAAGCAAGCTCCTATAGTTAATTACATCCTAAATGACGGGGTCACTTGAGAAAACTCTCGATAATGATCAGAGGTGTTAATCTTCAAGAATTCAAATTTTCGGTTTTCACGGTAGAACGTGAAAAAAGAAGAGGGAGGGGAAAAGCAAGTGGGAGTGTCTCAAGTAGGAACAGTTATTTTCAGGAGTCCAAAGAAAGGAAAATGTAGGGAATGTCACAGATCCTGAGGAGAAACCTCAGTGATTTCCCAACCAATCCTAATGTGTGGCTGAGTTTTGGAGACGGTGTTATTTAGGTGTTTAATTCTGTCAATTTTATTATTTGAGACTTACATTTGCATAACATTTGCTATGCAAATAACCCGTAGAGATAGAAGAGTTTACGTCGTACCAGACGACAACCTCAAAACCTAAGGCAAGTTAAGACTTACACTGCACAACATGGTTGTGCAGGAGCCTACTATGCAAATAGCCCGTAGAGATTGGAGAGTTTACATCGTACCACACGACAACCTCAAAACCTAAGGCGAGTTAAGACTTACGCTGCACAACATGGTTGTGCAGGAGCCTAAAGAGGACAACTTGGTTGTGCGGGAGCCTAAAGAGGGTGCAAGGATTTACGCCGTGCTAGGAAATCCTATGGGTTGTTATTATGCTAAGAAAAGATAATGCTGAAGAAGATCCTCTTGTCGCTCGATCCAAGCTCCTCGTCGTGTTGCCCATAAAGTTGGCTCCAAGCTCCTGTTGTAGCGATAGCTTCAGGGTTTAAGTGTTTGAGATTGGTGGTTTATGTTTATCCTGTTGTAGCGATAGCTCCAGGGTTTAAGTGTTTGAAATTGGTGGTTTATGTTTCACAATTTTGGTGTCAAAATTTTGGTTGTCTTATTTTTGTTTTGGTTTAGCATGCAAAATAAGCAAATTGCAGGTAAACAAAAAATACATGAGAAATAAAATGCAGTAAAGTAAAATGTTGTTACTAAAGCACGTGTATTGGAAAACATTTTTGTTGAGTCAACTCTCATAGTAGATGACGCCAAAGGCAACCTTGTTTCATTTGAGGTTACCAGGATTTCCACCGCAGATAGTTCTTCTGGGAACAGCAGCAACAAAATCAGTGTTACTTATATTCCCCCAAGATGTTGTCATCATCTACATCATTTGGTTGGCATTTGAAGAAACAAAAAATCAGACTCACCTTGATCATCATGTGTGATTACACAGAATCTTGAATGTCATGTTGTTTTTATTAATCATAGACTTCTTGCAAATTTTCTATTTTGAATGATTTATAAATTATTATTTGGAGTAAATTATGTGTTTTCAAATTTTCATAAAAAGAGATGAGTTTTAGTCTAAATTAAAGTTACTAAACTATAAACTTAATTTCAAATGTATGATTTGCTCAATTATTCAAGATTTGTACTTGGAAAACTCAAGACCAAGAAACAACTTTCACAGTTGTTCATGATGTTTGATAAGAAGTATATTGCATGCTCATTAATTGCTTCAGTACCCCTCACTAGGAGATTTTCATCAACGACTTCGAGCTAGTTTGTATCTGTCATTAAAAAAACTGATTTGACACAATAATAACTCTCAGCGCTTGATTGCACTAAAATTTGAATTTCGCTTAAAGATTGATTTTATGGGAGGTGGTGTGAACTTGACAGAACCAATATACATTTCTAGGAAAGGCATATAAATTTTAAGTTAAAGCACTTATTTAAATAAAGTGCTATTCATGGGTCTTGAACCAAAAGCTTCTTCATGGAATATATTTTGTACATTGCGCTTGAAAGAAATAGAATAAACATATCGAAGAAATTCTGCTAATAGAGAGAAAGGTCATTGACTTGAAAATTCAAAGTGTACATGCAGAAATGCAAACTTTACAAAGAGATATCTACAAAAACCTCTTATATAATCATTACATTATTTATAAACTTATTGGCATAGCAACTAAAAAATATAAAAACGCACAAGTTTAACAACATTCAGCCAGAATGCAGATAATAAATAAAAGAGATTTGACTCCTTTAAGTACCTCAACAGTTGGTTCCATTTGTGTCTGTGAAGCAAAACCGTAAAACCTACATAAATCATGGCATACATAAGAGATAAGTGCACACATATCACACACTCATATGAATGTATACTGATGCACACATACACATAAACACACAAAAAGCATACATAACACCCTCATCTAAAGACATTTGTGAAACTAATCACTTAAAAGGTGACATTATATTTTATCTGTGGACGACAACTTGTACTTACAACTTAGAGATAGAAAATTTTAAAGTAGAAAAGATATAATTCCATTCTCCTATGAGCAAAAACATAATGAGTGGAAAACTTAGGCATATTTATGTACAGCAAGGCAGCATATATAAAAAGATTAGAGAGCGACTCTTTCGCTCTCGTCACATATTTTTTAAATGAAAATTCATAATAGCGCTTGAGCATTATGAGTTCAGCTGTATAATAGAAATAAGATATCAATAGAAGCAAATCAAATGAAAGAAATCTCAGCTGATAACCTTTGGCCAAAATAAATGATTTTCAGAGCAACATATCTTCTGGCACATTCATGCGTGGTAATATATTGACCTGTGTGGGAGAAAAGGAATTACAAGGCTAGAAAAATATGAGAAGAAAAAAGAAAAAACTGTTAAATAAAAACTAATCAGAATAATATAAAAGCATTCTGAGTTTGTAAACCAAATAGTTTCTGGCATAAAAAGAGTGTAATTTAGCATGACATGCAAGCTTTAAACATTTTTAGGCTACCTAAGACAGCTTTCCCTTCCTCCCATCTTCAAAATTAAAATCTAAAATCCTATTGTAAGCATTTAAAAATATCTAACATGATCTTATAAGATTGCCCGGTATGTATTTCTCTTCCAAATTCTCCTTCAACAAATAGAGCACTTCTCGTTTGCCTATGAATATCACACGCATAAACATCACATGATAAACTCATAGCATCTTAACAAATTCCTCATTTTTTATTTAAAGTTGCTTTCAAAATACTATCAAACATACTATTCCAAGTTTGTGATATGTTCCTAATTCTCCAAAAGAAATTTAGCACTTTCCTTAATATCTCAACAAACTCACAAAACTTTCCTTCTCCAAAATTCTTCTGATTCTCAAATAAGAAAGATAATCCCATTGAAAACCTCAAAGCTTCCACAAAAGGCAGTCTGCACCTGCATAACCTTCTTAATCTGTTCTTCGTACTTGCCCGGCTGTCATAAAGGCATATGCAGGAATTCATATAACTGAGATGTTATTGTTGGTGAACTACGCCACTGCTCTTTGCATTCCCCGCGAGCAGACACCACTGCTCTCGCAAACAACTCTACCACTCACCTTCACTACGTCTCTGCATGCAACTTCGTACAAAGGTTGCCCGCCTGCAAGCATATACATGACACAATCTCTCCCACAAGGTTCTGTTGCTTTCAATCGCCCCCTCTTCCCCATGCTCGTGTGCATGAGGACTTTGGCTCGTGCTTCTAGGATCTACCAAAGCCAGAGCCTATCTCAAAAAGCCATTGTTGAGTTTTCTATGGCTATATCTTTGCTTTATTTTTCACACAGATTCTCGCTCAACTCTCCAAATAGCATTTGCTTGTCCTCATTCCAAATTAACTGCCCTCTGTTCCTCACCTCTTTCGGGATTTTCTTCTCTACTTTCCCTTTCTTGCTACTATCAACTCAATGGCCTCCCTCCTTGGCAGATCCTGCACCACACTAGGCCCCCTGTTACAGTTAATCCAGCCATATTAGAGGCTTCTTAATATATTGTTGCAAACATGCTGGGTGGTTTGTCGAATTTTGGTCCGATTTCGTTTCCATCATTTTTCACTCAATCAACTTCATTTTCTTCACAAGAATTGGTTTCACCATTATAAAAGCAAGCTTCTACTTTTTTAGGCAAACAAACACTCGTTTTTATTCATTATGAGATTTCTAAAAATGCTTTATGCAAATCCTCATCCTAACTTAGACATCATCCCAAATTCAAGTTTGATCTGAATTTGGTTGGTGAATATTCATTTTTTTAAGCAAAATATATCACGAGATAATGACATGAGTACATCAAGGGTATTTATTAAGAAATGCCAGATTAAAATAAAAAATCCAGCAAGACTATCAAATACAAAGATATCATTGGCATTTTCTAGCTTGAAACCTAATGAAAATAGAAGTGTGGTGATGGATTTTTTTCTAATTTATGTCCCTTCTAATATAAAGAACATAAAATACTTCATTCACCAAAAGGTCGGCACTTTGAAACATTCAATTAGAATCATATAAATATTATGGCAAATAATCATCATTTTTGTTCTCCAATAGGAAGTGGTTGAGGTATTTCCAAAACTAGTAGAGAACTCTTAGTGTTAATTTCAATAATAGACAAAGTGATCAACGCCAAAGAGCTAGCATAAGCAGGATAATTAATCACTTTCTCCAGAAGGTAAAGTAAACTTGGCAACAGATTTTGAGAAAATACTTGAAGAAAAAAAGGGTGATCTTCTACCTAAAACTCATCAGGTGGAAGCTCTTGTGATTGAGATTGAAATTTTTTATGCTCATGATGAATGGGAACATCGCAATAATCAGAGAATTAATTCCAGAAAAAAACAAGAGGAACAGTATGGAGGATATTTTAAAAATTTACCTTTTATCTATTATATCCAAACAATAAAAACCCAATCCATACCTTTTTATGAAATAGAGAAATAAATTCCACTCTCGCCAACACTACAGCCACAATGGGCCAAACACCATGAGCTAATGTAATATCCAATTGTAAAGATTTTCAAAAGATTAAAGTCAAGAAGAATAATGTAGAATAGTTGAGGTATTACATGTGAAACTGCGGAAATGAAATCCAAACTAAATTAATAGGAGACTCCACAAAATAATTAACATGGGGAGACCATTTTAACATGCACATCGAGAACTCATTAATATAGTAGGAGTGTCTTAAAAATATTTTAATATAAATTACTTCTAAAATAATTTTAATAAAAAGAAGTCAAGATCAATAAGGTAAACTGAATACTGATCTACAAACTAAAAGTACAAAGCAAATACAAATTTGTGAATTGCATCCACGATAAGATGACCCATCAAAAAATTGCCTATGAGGGAGCTAGGGATCCAGCAGGCATAGAAATCTCATCATCATAAAAGAAGAGAGTGGTCTTGTCTTAAAAATATGACGATTATCTGTGTTGAGTTGAGTCTTTGAATTCTTATGAAAGACAAATAAAAATTGGTTGAATGAAATATATATATATATATATATATGAAGGGAAGGTGAGCGTCGTAGCAGGTTCATCGCCACCCTAGCTCTCGCATGAAGCCTCGTCATGCTCGATAAAGAAGGGAAGCGGAGCGTCGTAGCAGGTTCGTCGCCGCCCTAGCTCACGCACGAAGCTTCAGCTTCACAGAGTCTTGCCTTCTTCCTCTCATTCAATCCCGACTCGTCCAACCAGGTGAAAGACTTTTGTCATCGAAAAAGCCGCACGCAAGGTTTCATCAGCTTCGACATAGATTGCACCCGCGGTCTGCTCCTTCATCCTCTTCTTCGGCACAACGGCTCCTCTGTTTGACAAACCCTCCCCTCGCAACATCCTTTCTCCATTTTTCTGCTTCGATGGCAACTGTTCCTCGCTCGAATCAGTATCTAGACAAAGAATCTTTTGTTGAGATGCTTGGTAAGTGTCTAAACTCTTAGAAGGTTGTTGAGCATCCTTTCTCCATTCTTCTGCTTTGATGGCAACTGTTCCTCGCTCTAATCAGTATCTAGACAAAGAATCTTTTGTTGAGACGCTTGGTAAGTGTCTAAACTCTTAGAAGGTTGTTGAGCATGTGGTGTTTCCTTAGATCTATCATGACTCTGTTGAAGGGAAAGCCGACTGTTTATTTTTTAAGAGGGCTTGTAGGAATGTTGGTAAGGCCGCTCTTATTTTTTCAAACCTCAAAGTCTCTACTCCGGTTAAAAAATGTAAATTCACACTCATTGAGAAATTTTAATTGGGGCATCCCAAATTTGAGACCCCAATCTCAAGTGTCTCACCTAACTAATCTCAAACTTGTAGGAAAATGGAAGGTGGGTCTCTTTGATGAGAGACATGTGATGGTATATTTGACTACAGACGAAGACTAAGCTAGGATTTTTTTCTAGAAAATTCCTCCCCATTGAAAGAAAAATTATGAAATTGCTCAAGTGGTCTTCTAAATTTGATCATAATCAAGAACCACCTACATCACCAATATGGTTTTAAGTTACCTAGACTTAAGTTGCATATTTTCAACCATTAGGTCCTTTATTCCATTGGGGTCATGCTAGGGAGACCAACGAAATTAGATTTACCCACTTTTAATCTTACCAGACCTTCTTTGCCAGGATCCTGTGGAGAGAGATATCACTTTACCTGATATTGAAGAAATTTAGCTTGGCACTGTACATAATAGGTCTTGGCAATAGATTGTCATGAAACAAATACCATACTATTGCAACCATTGTAAGATGTTTTGACACACTTGAAAAATATTTCAAGCTCCATCCAAATTTGAGACCCCAATCTCAAGTGTCTCACCTAACTACTCAAGAAGCACCTATTTAAACTGTTGAAATTGTGAAAATTGCAACTATAGAGGATATTGTCACTAATTTTGCCCCAGAGAAGTACCCCTCACTACCTCAACCCCCTCATGTTGCTGAAAATGAGGATACTCTCATTTTGGTGCCAGATAATGCTTCATTAGCTATGGAAACAGTTGTTGTTGATGTTGAGGGCCCACATACCTTGGCAGAGTGCAAAATTCAAAGTTTGCCACAGGTAGGAGCTGATACCATTGATGAACAACTCAGTGATAAGTTGAGACAACCATCGAAAGATGATTGACAATTTTACAAAATTAGGAAGAAGAAAAAATGACTAAAGGAACTCAAGAATATATAGGAGGATGTTTAGCTAGTTTCCAGTAGAAGCCCTTAAAGTTGATACCATTGATGAACAACTTAGTGATAAGTTGGGACAACCATCGAAAGATGATTGACAAATTTACAAAATTAGGAAGAAGAAAAAATGACTAAAGGTCTTATATGCCTTGTGAGTGAGCTCTTAGCATCTGCACACTAAAATATTTGTATCTTCTTACTATCAATGAAATTTTAATTTAGCGATATATATATATATACATATAAAATTTAAACGATGAACAAATTTTGCAACAGTGAGCTCTTAGCATCTGCTCACTAAAATCTTTGCATCTTCTTACTATCAATAAAATTTTATTTTAGTGATATATATATATATATATATATATATATATATATATGAAAAAATATTTTGTAAAAATTATTTTCTCTAAGCTTCACTGGCTTCTCAAACGAGGCCTAAGTCATATATATATATATATATATACAAAATTTAAACAATGAACAAATTTTGCAAAAGAGCACGGAGGTTGAGTTCTAGCAGGCCCAAACATGGAGACAAAAGGAAGATGAACAACCTCCAAAATATGAAAGGCCACAGAGGATAGAGATAGTGAACTACTGTTAGGATTATAGATCACACAAGACTATTAGCATTTGATAGAGCGATAAACAATCAACGTTGAAAGAGAAAAGAACGGCCAAATGATGGCAGCCCTAGGAACCAAAAAAGCAGTGAAAATAACAGATGGTGATGCTGTAATTTTATGTCAGTACAACAAACTCAAAGGAACCTCGTAGAACCCCACACCTATGTCGCATAGGAAAAGAGATGAGAAACTAATCTGCGCATACAATGCCTCACAAAAGCACTGCTTTGACGTCAATTTGTGCCACCCTAGCCATAGTTGACAACAATCATGCAAACGCGAGCCATGAAACTAGTCTGTGTGGACAAAATTGTGCAAAGCCCTAGTCGTGGATGGTGCCAAGGCATCTCCATTCACAATTGTAGAGAGATGATGGGCATCGCAATCGCTACACGTGAACAAAGCCACATGAACACCTAGAATAAGGGAAATCATGACTAACATCAGCAGTCAAGACAAAGCGATGAAGGAAGGGTTGGTGAATATTAAGTTGAACTTTTTGTTTATCATCATATCATTATAATATCTTTAAAATCAGACAATATCAAACTCCTCTTGTTGTACCTACTAAGTGTGCGTTTGGCTGGGCATTTAAAACCGCGTTTTTAATTTGAATCGCATTTAAATTGATTTGTTTCATGTGTTTCCATCGGTCGGTCGCAAACATCGTTATTGAGTACTATACAACCGCGATCGCGGGTTGGACCCTGTGTTTCATCGTTCGCTAATATCAATCTTCTTTTCTGCCACTCGCCGATTCGTGCCCTAGCTCCTCATTAAGAGCGCTCCCGATTTCTCCTCTGTGCCTTCTCCTCCCGAGCTCACGAACCCTGGCGATACCTCGTATCACCTTCGCCGCTCGTCCTGTAACTTCTGCGTCAACCTTCTCATCTCACAATTATCTTCTCCGACATTCTTCTTCTCCCCTATTTCACTTCTCTTCCATTCTTCTTCTCTCCCATTTAACTTCCTTAAGAAATACGTTTGTCATAATATAAATTCTTCATTCCCATTTTTCTTGTGGCACTGTAATGTGGGGATCCACTTTACATTCCTTTTGCAATTTCATGAACACAGAAAGTTGCTATTTGGTATTTTTTATCTCGAAAAATATGTGGATCTTGAATATGATTTTGTGGAGGAGAAAAGGGAAGGAAGAAATGATAATTATAGTTCCGTTCTGGAATATTTTTATGAATGATGCTAAAATCAGAACACATGTCTATACAAATCTCTTTGATCATGATACTTTCACGGTTATAACAATTAAACCAATGAATTTTTCTGACTTTATAGAAACAATGGTTATAAATCTTTTTGTTTGAAAGAAAGAAGTTATAGTATATCTTTATTGAGCATGCATATATATTTGTTGGGGCTCGAATGATTTATATAATAATTATGCAATGTGGGGTTATGGATTGATTATTACCTTACAAGAAATTGTCAATAACATTTTTACATTAGTGCAAATGGGATGGGCTATTTTGTTATGCAAAATTATCATGCAAAATTGTTATGCAAAAGTATTATTCACTGTTTGATTAGTAACCTATGTAAGTTTGCTCAATACCTTGTTAAAAATTGATGCACTAATTTAACGAATAGAGAATTCTCATGTTTTGATGCATTTTTTTTTTGGAGTTGTGAGAGGTGATCGATCCTTCTCAGGTGCTATTTTTATCTCTGCAAGGAAAAAAAATAACTGAAGAGTTATGTTTGTTGGTTTTTGGTGAGTCTTTTGATGAGATTGATAAAAACACCCCAGAGTTTTGTTTGTCCTTTGTCATCACTGCATGTGTCAAAATGTGCTCCTTATGTTTGTATGGTTTTTGCTTGCAACATGTTCTTGAAACTCATCAATTTGCTCTCTTTATGGAATTATGCCTTTAGAAATACAAATGGACAACACAAGAAACGGTGCATCGTTTGCTATATGGGACAAAAAAACAATAATGTTTTTCTATAATATTTGTATGAAAGATTAAGTTAGAAAAATAGGACAATCACACCTTTTAACAAAAAAGGTTGGCATTACATTATTAAAATTTTTCAAGAGAAAACTCGAAAAGTCTATGACCAAACTCAATCAAAGAGTAAATGAGACTAATTAAAAAAGGATTGTAAAGTTTGGAAAGAACTCAAAAGAGGGCTCGCTGGACTTAGTTGGGATACTACAAAAAACACCATACATACATCAGCAGAATGGTGCAAGAGAACTTAGAGGTGAAATCTATTTTGACACATTAGTATTTATATTTTCCCTTGCACATAAACTTGTTAGACATGAGTCCTTCTAATTATATGAATTACAGGTAGTGTCAAATACTAAAAAATTTAGGTTTCGTTGAAACAGAGCTAGAGAAGAAGATTTGTGTTATGTTTTGTGGGGTTGTTGGAACTGGTGAACATTATTTGACTCCTCAGGGATCGCAAGAGCCTAAGGAGAACCCAATCGATCCTACTCAAAGAGCACCACATGGCAGGGCTGATCTTAGTGAATCTAGCAATGCAATTACACCACCTTCTTTAAAAGCAAGGGCAACTCATAATTAAAAAAATTAGTTCTGCGTACCTAAGAAGCGAAATATCAAAGCTAGTTACAGCATGTGCAAACTTACCTTTTGAGGCTACCACTGCACAACAATCTTCATTCATTCCTTATGTAATAAAAATTTTGGAACAGATACCAGAAATTGATGAGGATATTCCTTTATATCTCTACTCATTGAAGTTAATTGAAGATCTCGTCAAGAGGGATATTTTCACGTTCATGGCACATGAGAGGAGGGTTCATTACTTACGCTTCTTCTACGAAAATCGCAATGTTTGATTAAACCTACTTTTACGTGTTTTGATTGAAATGCAATTGATAATTTAGTTGAAAGATGACTTCTGACATTAATTTTTGTAGTACAACAAACCCTCTTGATGTAATTTCATTTTGTAAAATGTTTTAACATAACCTTTATTTTGATGTTGGCACTTGTGAAGGTTATTCATTTCTGATCTGGATTTGTTTACAAGTAGGGAATATGTTGTGTTCTTTGTTTTGAACCCCTTAATTTTAATGGGGATGACTGTCTCTATTTTGGTGGCTATTTAATACAAATAAGAATTTTGTGCTAGGTATGTACATTTCCCTTATTGTTTCTATGTATAAGATTACAGTATCGAACATGAGCTCAAGCAGAACAAGATTATAGTAAATTTTCCTTCTTGTTTCAGATTAGTTACCAAACATGTTCCTAGCACTATGATCAAAAAATATTTTATTGAAAAATGTTCCCAATTAGATGATATATATGATTTAAATTGCACGATAACCTTCATAAGCCTATTTTCTTTATAATTTCAGTACATTTAATTTGACTAGTGATGGTATGCAACAAGAGTGAAAAAATAATAAGGATGTTAGGGCTTATAATTGGGAAAAATTCCCACCCCTAACCTACCAAATGACCCATTTTTGGTATTCTTCGTCACAGAAACAAGTTCTCAGATAAGTGATGGTTTTTTTGGTATCAATGTGTATTTAAATGTTTTATATCTAGACACCTACTAAAAAAATAACAAACCCAATATGTCCATTGATAAAACAAGAGCAGGAATATACCTGATGGATTTGCTTGCTCAAGGCTCGTGCAATTGGAAAACCTCTCAACATTCAAACTATGCTAATTGATTACGAGAATAATTTCTTATTAGAAATATTCTACAAATAATAAATGGAATAAACATAAGCAATGAGTTACTTTCAACACCTTGTCTTCCTTATGCAAAACGTCAGAAAGATTATTAGAGTGTAAGGTGTTGGTATTTGATTCACATACTGACAATTCGCTATCTTGTTGTATACTTAGGCAGGCTCCTTCAGATTTTGCAAAAGAATGAGCAGTAGGCTCTGCCTCCTTAACCTGAAATTAACCAAATATGATATGAAAAACGACAAAAAATCACCATTCAGTAAATTCTTAGACTCGCTATCTTGAGATGGGATCACATCATTTTTATAGCAAGAAAGACAAGGCAAAATCAAATTGATGGAATCAAGGCAACCTCATGTAGCACCTACAGCAACAACAACTACTACTAAAATTGCATTCCATGTATTCAGTTTTAGATCTACTAAAACAAAAACCTTTAGATTCTAAAATTGACCTCCATAATTCAGGTTTTTTCCTGAACCCTCTCTCTAGTCTTATCTACGAGAAGAATATTATCAGTGAAAAACATACACGAAACTCCTGTTATCATCCAGTAAGAATATTTATACTAAAGCAAAAAGATATGGGCTTAAAGCCGATTACTGATGTAATCCAACTGAAATAGAAAAATATTTGGTCAATCCTCCTTATGTAAAACAAGTAAAAGCTATGGTATATATATCTTTAATGACTTGAATATAAGCAATTTTAACATCTTTTTTTCTAGAACTCTCCAAAATACTTCTCTTGAAAGATTATCATAAGCTTTTTCTAAATCAACAAAAATCATATGTAGAACCTTCTTAATCTCTATATTTCTCCATCAAATCTCTCAATAAATTTATAACTTAAATAGTAGACTTGCCAAAAATGAATCCAAACTGATTTTGAGAAATTTTTGTATCACGTCATTATCAATGTTCAATTAGTCTCTCCCATAACTTTAATGTATTAAACATTAACTTAATTCCTCTATAATTTACAAACTCTTGCACATCTCCTGTGACTTATTGTGATATTTTTATTAAAAAGTTTAGTAACCTAAAAAATTTTCAGATTTTCTAAATATTTTCACATTTCTATTGAAATAGCATCAAATTCTATTGCTTTCCCATACTGAATTTCCTTTAAAGCATCATCAACTTATGTTTTACTAATATAATGGTATAAATAAAGAATTTTGTTATTATTTACGGTATTAACAACATTAGAGTTGATCGTATTTTCATAATCTTCATTCAAAAGTTTATCAAAATATCTTATCCATCTATGTTGAATATCCTCATCTAAGAAAAGCACTATATGATTTAAATTTTTAATACACTTTAAATGAACTAAAATATTTACTTTTCTTATCTCTTTGCTTGACTAGTTTATACATATATTTTTCACCCATTTTAGTATCTAATATAAAATAAATATTAATAAAAATAAAATTATTACTATCACATATTATTCTCTTAGACCCCTTACAAGACCCCATATACTTTTTCAATTTCTCTAAACTTTTATATTTAAATCAATTTTTATAACAAATTTTCTTATACTTTTTCAATTTCTCTAAGCTTTTATATTTAAATCAATTTTTATAACAAATTTTCTGATTTGTTTTATTTTCTTGCACATTATTATTCCACCACAAATTTTTTTTATTCATAAGAGCTTTTCCTTTTGATTCTCCAAGCACTTCTTTTGCAATTTGATTAATAGCAATCGTTATTTTATCCCACAAAGTATTAACTCCTTCATGAACATCCCAAATATTAAAACATTAAAGCTTAAACATAAAAATAATTTTATTTATATTTTTTAAATTCCCCGATCTAATTATATGAAAATATTTCACAATAATGTTCACGAGAAATTAAACAAAAATATGCAACTATCCTTCATTTACAAGCAGAACCATTTTTATTACAAGAGCTTAAGTAAAATAGAGAGAATATTTACTGGAAGCAAACTTTGCATTAAGAACATGCCAAAAAACCATTCAGGACTATTGGGACAAGACATACAAAATAGCAACTAAATCAATTGATGCATGATATCCAAGAAAATCCAGACACTTATGCAAATTACTTTGTTCAAGATGACATCAGCTAAAAAATTGGAAAGATTTTATCATTAGGACAAAAGTCTTGCAAATAAATCATTCCAGTGTCATTGTCAACCATGGCAGAATTACAAAAATATTACATCTACTAGCTAGACACATTTACCAGACATCGATAAAATATAAGGTTCAAGAGTGAAAAAAATTGTCAGGCATGCTAAATCACTAAGTATTAAATCCTCATTCTTATAGGATTATCTTAGCATATTTCGGTTCCATTAGTAGCATGGGTAGGCCTCACGATGGATTTCATAATTTGCCTATGATCCTCTTGTGGAAAAATAACTATCATGGCCACTATCCAGAGCATCATTAAGACATTATGTATACACAAATTCAACTCACCATAGCATTTCACAGTGGCAACAAAGGAAACAATTTTCATATCAAATGTTATCAAACGCAATGAAGTGCCCACCAAAATACTACTAGATTAAAAAAGAAATCGTGAATAGCTTTTGGGAAGAATTATTCAGAACACTCGATACAAAACGATGTTATAGCACTGCTCACCAACCAAAAATTAATGGGCAAATGAAACTCACTAATTGAAGTCGTGAAAAAAATTCATCCTTAATACGCCTCCAACAAATCTCCATCATCCGGCACAAATCTCGAAGATGACATCGATCTTGAGGCAATCTTTTAAGCAAGAAATGTTCAAAATTTGATTAACAGTGATCCAGAATTCTGATTTCAGCAAACTTATAGTCAAACTAATCGGCTTAATGGGACAGATTCAATGGTACTAAAATTGGTCCAATCCAAACCAATCAAGATGATAAACAATTGAAAGTTTTTCGAACATATTTGGAAGATCAAATGGATGTCAAACCTGGGAGCTTATAGTAAACTCAAGGGTCAAGATCACTCAACTCTGACAACATTAAGATACTCAAATGGCCATTAAATGTTGTATGATCAAGGGAATCTCTACAAGTCGTTCGATCAGAATGGTTTAATTCCATCATTAATTGTAGTCAGGGATCTATAAATAGGGCCCCACCCCTCTCATGAGCGGGGAGAAGAGCTTGAAGCTTGGAGAAGAGTTTGAGGCTTGAGGAAGAGCTTAAAGCTTTGAGAAATTGAAGTTCATCATCACCCCTGTCGTCGTTGGCAACCGTCGACCACCGTCAACCACCACCTGTCGATCGTCATTGACCACAAGTTTTCGGCCCGTCAATCATCATCGAGCACCGTCTCTTTTTCACGAAGAAATTGTTCTTACATCGAAGTTTTAATTCGAAAAACTTAGGGTTTGTTTGGGACAACTGCAGTTCATCCAGTTTATTCAGATAAGCTGTTAATCGGCAGCTGATCCGGATAAGCTGGCTTACTGTTTGGTTTGTGTGTTTGGAAAACAACTGATTTGCAGTTGTTTCTGGATAAATTGTCATTTTGCCCCTGTGCAGTTGTGCTACTTGCAACAGAGCTATCATGGTTATATATTTGATGGTTTAGAACCAAAAAAATCACTTCAAAATAGTATAAAAAATAAGATAAATACCTAAAAATAAAATATTACAAAAAAATATCATTTTATTTAATAATAATAATAATGAATCTTGTCACCAAATCCACATGAAAAAAATCAGTGTTAATATAGATATGCTTTAATTTTCTAATAACAACAAAAAGGTCAACTAGTTAGGAAGAAATGTCACACTAGAATCCAAAATTTTAACATCCACATTTGGAAGGATTGCGTGAACAGGCTTACCTTCCCCGATAGTTTCTAGTAGGAGCGGAGCAGAAAAATGAGAAAGATGGGAGTATCGCTAGTCTTTGTATGTCGCGATCTCATTTTGGCCTTCCCTACTAGCTCAAATCGCGATTGTATTGCGAGGTTTCATTTACGAAGACGGTGGTTTTGGGCGAAAACAAAAGAGCTGGAGTGATGTAGATGAGGCTTCGACCTGCAACACCGAGCTAGGCGATGTGCGGCACATGGCGAGCAAGCATAACCTTCGATCTTCTCCTCTGCGACTCTTCTCTCTGGAACGAGACAAGGGCAGACAAAGCGCAAGAGGGCAGCCCCGTAAAATATTTCACACAAATGAAGGCCGCAGAACCGAACCCACGGCCGCGTTTAATAAAAATTTTTACATATTAACGTGAAACTCACCCCACACGCCCAAATCAAACACCTCTCCTTGCGTTTTCAAAATGCACCGCAACCAATAAGCTACGTCAAACGGACTCGTAGTAACACTTTTCTGTTTGTAGGACAATGAATCTTTGTAATTATCAACTTACTGTAAATCTCTAAGTCAGACACCGTGGTTTCTCTTTACGGGTTTTCCATATAAAATTTTTTTGTGTCATTATTAATTATTGTCTCTCCTTTGAGTGTGTGTTGAACATTCGTACAATGCTAAGACGATAATATATTACTCTATTGCCGCGAATTTTCTAGCACGCATCAGTTTGACTTCGTTTGCTGGAAGCGAAGTCTCGTTTTGCATTGTCTTCAACTTTGAGACGTCGAGCCACTACTTTTTTTCCCAATAATATACATCATTTAACTGGCGAAGAAATCTCCTTTGCATCTTGAAGATCATCTTTAGAGCATTCTTCGATGTGGGGGAGCAATCTTCACTGCAATCTCAAAATGTCGTTCACATTAATGCCCGGGCATGATTGTAGTGGGGTTGTCTTCTCGCGTCTTATTCAGACACAAATCAAACGCCTCCGCTTGCGTTTTCAAAATGCATCGCAGCCAATAAGCTGTGCCAAACTGACCCTTAGTAATACTTTCCTGTTTGTGGGACAATGAATCTCTGTAATTATCAACTCATGGTAGATCTCTAAGTCAGGCCCCGTGATTTTTCTCTTTACGGGTTTTCCACATAAAATTTTTTTTGTGTCATTATTAATTATTGTCTCTCTTCTGAGTGTGTGTTGAATCTTCGTAACATGCTAAAACGAATATATATTACTCTATTGTAGCGAATTTTCTAGCACGTATCAGTTTGGCGTCATTTGTGGGAAGCGAAGCCTCGTTCAGCACTGTCTTCAACTCTGAGACGTCGAGCCACTACTTTTCCCAATGATGTACATCCTTTGCATCTTGAAGATCATCTTTAGAGCATCCTTC